CGATCTCGCCTTGTCCTGCTGGCGGATGGCAGCACGGATGGCTGCCCTCCTGCCGCAGTGGCTGTGCGGGGGAGCATGCCCTTCCCTTCCGCCACCGCTGTCCACTGTGCTCTACCTTCCTCTGTACATCCTCAGATCCTTCCCCTATAATTTGTTCCTGTTTCTCTCCCATGAAGAATTAGGATAACAGGATGGACCGATGACATCTCTAAGACGTTGATGACTGAAAGCTCAGGAACTGACCTTGCAGCGCTTGATAGTTTTTTTGTTTTGTGGTTTTTGTTTTCTGATGTGGGACCTTCATGCTTCGGTTTTCCTCTTGGTATGATAAGAAGGGCAGGGCAGGGGAAGGGAGGCAAGGTGTCTAAGAAAGGTAACCATGTTGATTTATTGGAAAAATGCCACTCCTTTCCGCTTGATTATGGATTCTCGAGGGAAGGGGGAAAGCCAGATCTATCCCTTATTTCTTTGTCAGTTTGGTTTTCCACCTCCTGCCTCAGTACTTTCATCTATAAAACGGGCTGGATGAATACAGTACCTCTCACCAAACACCAATGAAACGTGTCCTTAAAAATCAAAAGCCACTGCTTCTCATTTGGAAGGCTGATGATAAGACACAATGAATCTGTGACTAAGTGACCTGGTTCTAAGGCCAGTTACTGATGCCAAGACTGGAAGAGCTTTTGGTGCCCCATGGGAAAGAAGGCAGAGGTTCTCGGGGTGCGGGCACCAGCTCGCTCCCTCCCGGCCTGGGAGTTCTCGCCCCGCTCTCCCTCTCGGAACTGCCCTGTCGTTTTCCTTTCTCAGCCTCAGTCATGCCTTCCTCCTCCTCCACCCCATACACCTCCGGGCTTTTCTGCCTCCCCTGCACCCCACCCCCGTTTTTATGAAAATGTTATGAACACAGACAGCTCTCGCACATTTATTTGTTGTTCATCCACCTCAAAATAGCTCTTAGATAACAGTAATTGCCGTGTCGCCTGGCTGTGCTGAGCCGCTGCTCCTGCGCTGACATGCCACTTGATAACTCCTCGAAATGATCATCTTCAGCAACTCACAACAAATATCCCCATGATGGCTGCAACAAAGGGAAGGAAGGGAAGAGTCCCCTCTCTTTTCTTCTATAGTGAAAGAACAACCTGGACACAAAGGGAGGGCTAAATTGGGTCATGGACTCTTATACACCACTGCAGATCACGTCTGGAAGGAAGTGGAGACCCGCCAGCTACAGCTAACTTGTTAGCCACTCCCAGAGCCCCATGAGCATTTCTAACGCCTAATGCAAGCCTGAGAATGTGTTAAAAATAGCTTCAGGCAGCACACGTTATTTTCTTGGCCTATAAAAAATTTAGGTGCCTTACAATGCTCCTGGTAGACTTTCCTTTGCAATTTTGCTTTCCTAAGGAAATGTAACCATTCAGGCCTGTTGACTGGCGAACGGTAATTCTGCATGGTGACATTAAAAACCTAGTTGAAATCTATTAATACCAAGGAAAGACTTGTTTGCATATTATTCCCTGGTATAGGTAGGAGGAATTCAGAGGGGATTTTACAGGAGTTCATTTGCAACCAACTAGAGTCAGACACCCAGAGGAAAAGCTTTCTCCTTCTGCAGGTGGGGCGTTTACCTTCTGTCATCCTTGTACCACTGGAATTCTGCCGAGGGAACTGCTGAGGCTTCACACTGCAGTGTCCCCTTTTGTCCCACGGGGACACCTGTACCCTTAGCTTCTGAAATGTACGGTGGATCTGCAGAGAGAGGATATCGCATAGCATTATAAAATGCACTTTGAAACGAGGGAGGCTGCCTCATGCGTGGAGTTTGGTTTCCACTCCCTGCCCTAGCTCTGCCTGCCTGCACTGTCAGATTGCTATACAAATTGTGCCAGAGAATGAAAATATCTTCAACACGGTTCTGAGGAAATGCTTGGTCTTCCTGGCATGTACCGTTTTTGTTCTTCTCTGTACAGAGGCAGAATGACCAGGTATTCAGGCATATTTCCTGTTTAAACTTTTTAACTTTCATAAGATGATGCCAACCCATCAACTCTATACTTCATGGGTCGACAGTCCACTCCTTTAATCAGCCTTATAGAACTGCTGCACACCAGGTTCTTGCCAAAGCATATAACCCCTAACTATTCAATTCCCATCAAAAGCTCAGTTGCAAGAAATAATATTCATGGAGAATTGCCTGAAGGATACACAGTAAAGATCAGTCATTCTTCCGAGTATTCTAAAATGGGTCCCTGAATCAAGTCAGACTGAACTAGACCTATATACTTGGTCTGCATTCATTTGAAGTCTTTACCAAACTACCCTTGACATCCCGACAGTTTGCATGGAAGGGACTTCTGAAAAACATCAAGTTTGCTGCTCTACTTAATGCAGAAAAATTGTACATGGTGGTGTTGACTGTGCCTCACAGTGCTCTATTTGTGGAGACCCTGAAGAGAATTTTCTCTGGGGTCTCAATACCAGGAAAAGCAGTGTTTCTCGCAAGCAATTGATTGGCTTTTATCTTATGGACAACATAAATTTTAAAGCACATGATGTTTTCCATCTTTCCTTTAGCAATGCGAAGCCCAGTTCAGGACCTGCACCTAGCAAACTTGTGGTATGCATTTTACGTGCTGTTTTTTCTCTAGCTTTCACTTGTTTTCCTAAATATATTTTTCCTTTGCTTCCATTTCTTCACCTTTTAGGCTTATCTTCATAAAATGTAAATTATCTTAAGTTCTTTAAAAAAAAACTGTGCAAGGTTAAAGAAAAAAGTGGTAACATTGTTATACCTATTTCCTTGCTTCTTAAAGTGCGTCATACCAACTAGGTTCATATTATAACAGAAATCAAAACATGAAAGTAACGAGTGTGTGTTTGCCCATATACAATATCCTTCCCTTACCTCCACCCCCACCCAAGTTTTTTTTTTTTTTTTTTTTTCCTTTTTGTCTTTTTTCATGACCGGCAACAGATCGCAACCCTCAGTGTCGCGCCCGTACCGGACCGGGACCGGCAACAGGATCGTAACCCTCGGTGTTGCGCCCGCACCTCGCTCAGCCAGTGAGCGGCCGGTCTGTATGTGGGATCCGAACCCTCGGCGGGAGCGCCACCGCGCTCCCAAGCGGCGCACTGTAGCAGTGTGCCACCGGGCCGGCCCCCCCACCCAAGTTTTGAAAGGGAAAGGCTTCTTGATGGCTGGTTTAGTTCTTGGGTTCTATTCTGTCATAAGACTTCCTTGAGTGTATGCAGCAGAGAAAACCTTCAGAATGTCATAGGGAACTGAGACAATGTACATAATGAAGAATTGGGAGAGAAGGGGTGAAAGACAACATTTGAGTAGGATCAGTGTCTGAGAGCATCTGGATGATCAATGGAGAAGAGTAGGGGTCCACATCAGTGGCCTCCAAACATTTTGGCTTCTGTACTTGTGGAGTATACTAATATTTATAAAGCAAACATATTTCACAGGGCCTAGTTTCCAAAGCCCTATAGTTTCAGGTATAACCTAACTTTTAAATGTTAAGCTTTCAAAAGACAGGAAAAGTTCCCCAGGCTAAATCTCTGTTGTAGATAAAGAATTGTAACACAGCAAAATTGCTGGCTGAAGGACAGATGCCCTTGGAGCAGGTTAACCTAGTTACTTTATTGCTATGTAAACATACAGAGGAAACCCCTGTAAGAAAAGACAGCACTTGCTAAGAACAAGCTTTTGTTGGTGGATCAACTTAACCTTTTGCAAACTGCAGTATGGAATGTCACTTTGTTATTTCACTGATGTTATCAGCCCCTATTGTTAAACTATACTTAGCCATAACTCCCCCTATGTTCCTTTTCTGTAACTTTCTGGCATGGAGAATAAATACTGAGACAGAACTCCAGTCCTGTGTTAATTTCCTGAAGAGGAATGCCTCTCTCTTGAGGGTTCCTGGAAATTAATCCCTTCGGGGTTTCTCACTGCTCAGAAGTAATGGGCTTTGAGTAATCCTTTGCATCTCTGTCATCCAGGGGAAGAGAGGTGACAGAGTGCAACATGTACCTCTATTAGTAAAAGTCAAATTTTAAGATACGCCCCCTGATATCTGCATGTGTATCTATTTGTATTTAAATTATGTATGTATACCATGTATATCAACATCTGTAATTGCAAAAGGATGAGATACAGTAAACACACCACGAATGGAAGTTCTACTGTTTCCTTCACACACTCTAGCACATGGTCTGGTTTAGAGAGCACGAGGCCCCAGGACAACTGCATCGTGTGAGCAAATCATGGAAATGCTGGGACTTAAAGATGCATTTATATAAATTATGCATTAAGTGCCATTTAATGATCTCCCAGCCATGTAAGTCAACTTTAGTATTGTATTAAGTTACTTTTAGCACTTTTTTTTTTTTTTTTTACTGTAACACCATTATACCTTGAGGTCTCAAAAACTAGAGTTTGGAATTGAATAAGGCATGCTGCATTATTTCCTGTCCTGAGCCAGCAGATGGCTCTGCTAACTGGCTCTCTGTTGTGGCCATGCTGGCCCCTGTACGCAGGAGGGTGTGGCGAGACCACTTACAGTTCACGGTGACCTTCACTCTTCGTACCACTGGCGCGGCCACATCATTGGAGGCACTGCACTCGTAGTCCCCTGACTGCTCCCGGGTGATGCCTTGGATTTCCAAGTATTCATCTTCACTCACAAAGCCAACCGCTGCAGGAGAAGCAGAAGGTGTGGGGAAAGAGGAGAAATAAAAGACCAAAGGCATAAACTCAGAGCATAAAGTATAAAATGGTTATGCCTGTAGAGAACTGTGCTACTTGATGTTCAGATGCTCGGGAACTATGCGGGCTCTCCCTCCCCATGTCTTCTAGCCCTTCCACCACCAACTTTTCCTTGGCTCCCTAATGGACCAGTGGAAGGTTTGTGGTCCTAACTGACCTGAGTGCAATGCCTAGAGAATTACTGGACCTTGATAAGTGATTAATAATTTTGATATTTACACTGCCTGAATCTTACTGAGCAGTCCAGCTCTGGGATCTGAGTTAGGCCCCTTAACTCATTCTATCTCAAGGTATCATTTACATGGAGCCTTGAATGTCGAGTTGATGACTGCAGCCCTGAAGATGAATCAAACAAAATGCCACACACACACACACGCGCGTGCTCACAGACACATATACGCACCTTCCACAAAGGCAGTGAAAACAGTAATACAATATATGTAATGTTCTGTTTTTAGATTTAAACAATCATTTGTATAGGCAAAAATCAATTTTCTAAACTTTGATCTGCTAGACCTCTTAGACTGTAAAGACAGCCCAACCATGGGACCCCCACTTGAAGCCTAACCATAAGCACAGAAGAAAGCAAAGACTAAGAAGACATGACTGTGAATCCTACTGTCACTTAATCATCCTGAGACTCAACTTCTCTGGTGAAAAATTATGAATGATAATAACAACCCTATTGGACTCCATACCTGATGTCTGGCCGTGAGCATTCAGTTACGGAAAGACAAAGACATTTCAGCCTAGAAGACAGATTTCAGAGTTCTCTCCCAGAGCCAACCTGAGCCTTAGCTTCCTTGCTAACTGCTTTCGTCCTGGGTCTATCCTCCGTCATCTGATAAATGAGGATGATTGGGATGACAATATCACAAACTGGGATACTTTTAAGAATAAAAGGGGGCACTATTAATAATTATCATGGGACAACAAGCATGTGTTGAGACTGTCCCTAGAAACTGAGATACATTTTCCCAGGCATAATATGTATAGCATCCCAATACCTCACAGGGTTATTTGGAGCAAATGAAAAAGATATATATATAGAGAGAGATACACACAGACACACACACAACACACACACACACATATGAGAGCACTTTGAAAACGCTCATCTGCAGCACGCCAGTTGGTTAAGTTACTAACCCTGTAATCCGCCTGGAGGCACAAATTTGGGTGGAGTGAAGCTGTAATAACCTGAGGGGCCCCAGAAAGGGAAGGAAGGGACATTTTTTTCCAGGTCATAAAACCCTCCATAATGGCACATGTTTCTGCTGATCCAGAGCCAGAAAATGATAACTATAAGAATCTAACATAATGCAAATAATGATACATGTGGTATGTAAGTTATGGTTGTATTGGTTCCAGTCACCATTTTTGTCAGGATAACCACAGTAACAATGGCAATAGCACGAACCACAAAACTACTGTCTGGTAAAGAAGGGCCACTACCTTGTCCACCTCTGCTGCCACTTCTTGGTCGTGATAAGTCTTTGCCACCATCCAGTAAGAAGCCCAGCCTGAGTATTTCCTCATGTATGTTCATGCCATACAGAGCCCACATTATCTGTGTTCAGAAACTATCTTGCCTCTATCACCTACAGAAAAGAACAGCCTATATCTATTGTAACGAGCAAGCAAGAAATAACAAATTCATGAGAAGACGCAGAAATGTATGAATAAGTAGAAAACAGGTCCAAAAGTCCAGGATATAAAGAAGACAAATCAACATTAATCCACATAGACTCGTAATTCCAACCAGTGAGAAACTTCTAATTGTCGCAGTGGCCTTGATTATTATCGTTACTTTATAAGCATCTTTAGGGGAAAAACGTACTAACTTTGATTCAAGGAAGTGTGGTGGAAATGAGGAGAAGAAGTTTAAATAAAGAATTTGTGGTTCTTCTTATGTTGTCGTTGTTTATTTGCTACCAACCACAGGCCTACATTTGTCAGATCTTCCTCTCTAGAATGCTATAATTACCATGCACAGCATTTCAGAGACCAATGTCACACTTAATATTCCCATTAATTTTAAATGGTAGTCCTTGGTACATATGTGTGGCAATTGGTGTCATATTTTAATTAGGCTTGCCCTACACCATCTGAAATTAATAATAGCTCGAATTACCAGTGTAATTTATAAATTAACAGTGCTGCAGCATTAGGAAATAAATTAGCTCTGGACAGCTGTTTTGGATTGAGCTCCAGTGTTGGAGCAGTGACTGGTAGGACCTCGGGTCTCCTGGGAGGCTGTGTATTACACTGCCAGAGCACAGGAACAAAAAAGACATAGGGTTCTCTGGGTCTCTTGTTCTTCACTCCATCTGAAGTCCATGCATCTGTTTTAATTCTACCATCCAAATATGCTCTTGTGTGGCCACGGTGAGGTTTACAGGGACCGACCTTTGATGAGCTTGTTATATGGACACCCAAATGGAGAAGTGAGTTGGGATTATAGACTGAAATGCAAGCACGGAAAATTAAGGTAACCAAAACCAATAACTCTACAAGAGTTCTGTGGGGACACAGGTGTATTGAGGTAGGTGTAATCTTGTATACTCCTGTCAGGTGATCTCCTGTAGGGAAGGAAGTTGGATGATCCAGATTTGTGTCACCAGAGGGAGGGGATTTATATCCAAGTCATCTGCAAAAACCGATGAGGCTTGATCTTACTATCTCTGTTCCCCAGACCAAGTGTAGAATTATACCACGATGACTGCTTTGCTCACCAGTTAACAGTGTTAGATGTATACTTTCTGATTAAACAGGGTAATCTGCATATAATAAAATGAGCATCTCCTCATTTCGTCAGCTTTGGTCGTCATTATTTTTTTTTTTTTACTTTTTGTCTTTTTTCGTGACCGGCAACGGATCGCAACCCTCACTGTCGCGCCCGCACCGGACCGGGACCGGCAACGGGATCGCAACCCCTGGTGCCGCGCCTGCACCTCGCTCAGCCAGTGAGCGGCGGGGGTCTGTATGTGGGATCCGAACCCTCGGCGGGAGCGCCGCCACACTCCCAAGCGGCGCACTGTAGCAGTGCGCCACCGGGCCGGCCCCTGGTCGTCATTATTTTTGCCTTTCTCTTCACACACTTGGTTCTCTACTAGAGGAATATGTGGCAAAAGCAGACGGATGACCAGTATATGCATAGCAAACTAAACTCAGAACCACCAGGTTCTGGAGGTTCCTTCCTACAGGGCTGCTTCAAATAAGCAGACAAAAAACAAACCAAATAAAAAAACACTAAACTGACATCTCAATTTCTGGAGTTAATGAATCAAGGAAATGTTTCATTTAACAGCATTTGTGCTCTGGCTGTGAAATGATCAATGTGTTATCAGTAGTATGAAGAATTTATGAAGAATATTCAGACAAAAATACCCAGATCAAGTGCTAAAGGAAATTCTTGGTTAAGAGACACCAGTGGGGAAGAGGCAAACCACTTGATAAAACCCAATGAAAAGAAACTCTCCACGGTCAATGGCTTCTCACTTATAAGTCTGCTTTTCTTTTTCTAAAGAAAACGCATCCTTGGGTGGAAATGACACTCATCTTCCTAAAATACCCACTTCATCATGACACTGCTCTTCAGACGCTGAAAATGGCTCCCTATTTTCTGTAACATCAAATGCCAGCTCCACTGTCTTATTATCAAAACCTTCCGCAAAGTAGCCCCCATCTATTCACCCAAGTTTGTCTTGCATTAGTGCTGTGGAGAAGGCAACGGGTCATCATTGCAAAGAGCAAAAGGTTGGAATCAGACAAATCCAATTCTCTACCTTCTAGCTTCACAACATGGTAAGTTACCTCACTCCCCTGTACCACCATTTCTGCACCTGCAGGACTCAGTGTAACATTACCTAAGTCTAGGGTTTCTGTGAAATACAACACACGGAACTCAGCGGGGACAGTGAGAGGCACACGGTACATTCTCTGTACGTGTGAGCCACTATAATCAATATCATCATCACTACTGCCATGACCACAACCCACAAGCCAGGCCTTGCTACTTTTCACCTTAGACAAACATGATGATTCCTTCTTCACAGGCTGTTTTTATCACTTAGAAAGCTATGTTTTTTCTGTCAACCTAAGCAAACCTTTTTAAAAAATTTACTTTTCCACGAAGACTCCCTATGATGGGTTAAATAGTGTCCTCCAAAAAAGATATGTTGAGGGCCCAGCCATTAGTACCACAGAATATGACCATATTTGGAAACAGGGTCTTTATAAAGGTGATCAAGTAAAAATGAAGTATTAGGAAGGGCCCTACTCCAATATGACTGGTGTCTTTGTAAAAAGGGACACAGAAACACACAGAGGGAAGGGAGTGTGAAGACCCACAGGGAGAAGACAGCCACGTGACTGGAGCGATGCACCTACAAGCCAAGAAACGTGAAGGACTGCCAGCAATCAGGAGCTAGGAGAGACAAGGGAGGACTTTCCCCTACAGTTGTCAGAGATTGTGGACCAACCAAGATCTTGATTTTCAACTTCTAGCTTCTGGAGCTGTGAAACAATACATTCTTGATGTTCGAAGCCACACGGTTTTTTGAAGCTTGTTACAGCAGCTCTGCGGCACTAATACATTCCCTCTACCTCCTAACTCTGGGGACCCCTGGGGACTCCTGTCCAGCACTCTGGTGCATGCTACGTTCATGTAGTCTTTAAAATAATAAAAGAATTAAACTAAAGAGATTAAAGGGACATGAATGGTTACATAATTCACAGTTGCTGTGCTAGGACATAGTCCGACTGCAGTGGAATTCACTAGAATAATTGCTTATGATTTCTAGGTTTCACCTGTACCTACTAAACTAGAATTTTCTGAGTTTAGGAGTGCTCATAATCCTATCAGGAAATTCTCATGTATAGGCATTTTTGCAAATTAGCAATTGAGCAGAATCTTCAAATTTTTCG